CGACAGTTTCTGGGGCAGCCTGATGATGAAGCCACAAATATACAATAAATGCTGAATCAGTTCCAAGCAGCAGCCCTATAAAAGGAGCCTAAACTTCATTATTCTGTTTGGTCCCCAGATGGCTCTTTTTCCTTAGGCTGTTTCCTTGCAGATTTTATCGTAATGGAAAGACTCCCAAGTCGTGGTGGTGTCATTTCACTTGACTGTCGATTCCAACCGTGTGGTTCCAAAGTTGCTGTGAACCCATACCTTTTTGGAGAAAGTGTTTTAACCTAAATTTGGACAGTTTCCTACAAAATTAGTTATTGTGAGGACATTAACATAGATCTTGATTCCTGTTGTGGTTCCTGAGTTGAAGGTGACCTTTCAGCTCCCTTGTGACATGAGAGGCAAAGTGTCCTGATGCTCTTCATGGTTAAGAACACAGTCCTTGGAGTCACACTGCCACACTGTTTTAGATCCACCACGCGACCATCTCATAATTTTTAATTTTTAATTATTCCTTCGCATAATTTATAAGCCTTAGTTTCCTTATCAGTTGTATTGATACTAATACAATTATAGTATTTGTATCATAGAGTTGGGAGAATCTATGTAATTCTTGTACTAAAGTACTGAGAGCAGTATCAGACCCTACGTACTTAGAAAAGCTCAGTGTGTACTTATTATGCAAGTGATATTTTCTTCAATATATTTTTACATCTCGGTACCTTAGGCAATGTCCCGTTTCTAACCCTTAGCAGAGACATAGAATTTAGCACAGTCTACAGTCTGTGTATGTGAAGAACACGTTTCCTCATTTAGTCAAAAGTTGATTTTGTCTTATTCTTGCGCTGCACCCATGGTATTTGGGGGCAAATACCGGTCTGTATCCAGTCTCCGGTTCTGCTTTAGTTCTATCTGATAGTGTGAACCATTTGTCAGAAAATAGTCTTCTACTTAGGAAAAGAAGATGCCAGATTCCCCCTCCTTTCCTCCTGAGGCTGATGTCTGGTTGGGTGAAGGAAGGGCTGGGGCTTATTCATCAGGAAGGGAGCTCTGCGGTTGCTGCGTACAGAGTCCTTCCTGGGCGCTCTTGGCCAATCCCCTAATCCACCTCGGGGCCACTCCCCGTACTGTGCTGGTGCTTTACTCTCATAGACCCTGAGAGCCGACTGTTGAAATGTCAGGAGTTCATGAGTTGGTTGTAAAACTGTTAAACAAAGCCTGTATTAAAAACTAAAGTATAGGGCTTCCTTGGTGGCGCAGTGGTTGAGAGTCCGCCTGCAGATGCAGGGGACGCGGGTTCGTGCCCTGGTCCGGGAAGATCCCACATGCCGCGGAGTGGCTGGGCCCATGAGCCATGGCCGCTGAGCCTGCGCGTCCGGAGCCTGTGCTCCGCAACGGGAGAGGCCACAGCGGTGAGAGGCCCGGGTACCGCAAAAAAAAAGAAAAAGCCACAGGATTTTAATAAATAAATAAATAAATAAAAACTAAAGTATATAAACTTACAATTAAGTAGATTCTAATAAAAAAACGACGGTAAAGCTCAAAGCGCATCACTTCCTAATCAGTTCACTACATTTTTCTCTTCTTTATGCGCTTGAAGTTATTTACATCTCTTTTGTGTGTGTGATAGAAATGCCACAAAATTGTGAGCTGGGTCACATCTCCTCCCAACTCTGGGTTCAGTGGTGCCACATTGGTAGCTTGAGATCAACCATGGTGGGAGAATTACACCCCGAGAATTGGCCAGTGCCACAAACCAGGGCTTGATTCATTTATCTTCATGATTGTCTAGAATTAAAGGAGTGATGGAGGAAATGTTAATGATGCAGGTTATACTTAAAAATGTGTCAGTAGCCCCTGTACTGTGTACACCGCCAAAAATGTGGTCAACTATGGTTACGTTTTTCAGAAACTAATATCTGATTCAGCAAAGATGTCGCTCAGGTCATTGATAGATGGATGACGTTTTGACATCCTTCATTATTTCACTTTAATCTTACTCAGGAGTTAGGAAATCTTTTCTGTGAGCGTCAGATATTAAATATTTTAAGCTTAGTGGTCACATACAGTCCGTGTTATACATTCTTCTGGAAATTTTTGTTTTTTTTAATTATTGTTTTTCCTCACACACCCTTCAAGATGCAGAAATTGTTCTTAGTTCAAGGGCTGTATGCTGGTGGCATTTGACCTCTGCCACTCATAGTTTCCTGACCTCTGGCCCATACTCAGTAATGTCAATGAAAATATCAACCAAAACTTCAAGGTCACATTCATTAATTGTAACCATAGATTGGCTGTGGATACAGGAATTTTTAGTAAAAATCATCTAAATCATTCTGTAAGAATCAATTGGCTAT